GCTTAGTGGTTCATGATTGGTAGACCGATAGCTTAGTGGTTCATGATTGGTAGACTCTTAGCCTCGTGGTTTATGATTGATAGACCAATAATGTAGTTATTCAAGTGAAATAAATACAAAATGTGAAATTACTCATTATCATTTAGTCACCTGTGACGGTAACGTGGTTTAGATTTCAAGTCTGTACATTAAACTAGAATATTACCGTTGCAGCATTCAGAGAGTCAAGTCGAAATCGAAGTGACTCACAAGATTGTACCTGATTGGCTACACAACCCTAACACCTATCAATCAAGCCAATCAGAAGGCAGCTTCTTTGTTAACTACCCTGAATCATCCCGGCCTGGCATTGCTAGGTTACTGAGATTGACATGGACGATAACAGCCGATCATCATTATGAAAACGGAAAAAAACATTCCTTATTTTCGTAAAAAAATGTTTACAGAGGAAAAGTAAATAGAATTGGAATTGATTAAAATAATAATTAACCAATTTATGAAATTGATCGGCGACAACAGAATTAGTTTGTGTTGATGTTGACGTTAAATGTTATTATAAAATCAGTATTACGTGACGTAATAATGCCATTAGAGGATCTTGCATGGTGAAGATTGTATAGTGACTCAAATCAATGATTTGTCGTATTACTCAAATGTTATGAACATATCTAATGGCCTAGGCTGTAATAATGGCACAGTGAAAATGGCCTAGGCTGTAATAATGGCACTGTAGAAATGGCCTAGGCTGTAATAATGGCACAGTGGTAATGGCCTAGGCTGTAATAATGGCACAGTGGTAATGGCCTAGGCTGTAATAATGGCACTGTAGAAATGGCCTAGGCTGTAATAATGGCACAGTGGTAATGGCATAGGCTGTAATAATGGCACAGTGGCAATGGCTTAGGCTGTAATAATGGCACAGTGGTAATGGCCTAGGCTGTAATAATGGCCACAGTGGAAATGGCCTAGGCTGTAATAATGGCCACAGTGGAAATGGCCTAGACTGTAATAATGGCACAGTGGTAATGGCCTAGGCTGTAATAATGGCACAGTGGTAATGGCCTAGGCTGTAATAATGGCACTGTAGAAATGGCCTAGGCTGTAATAATGACACAGTGGTAATGGCCTAGGTTGTAATAATGGCACAGTGGAAATGGCCTAGGCTGTAATAATGGCACTGTAGAAATGGCCTAGGTTGTAATAATGGCCACAGTGGAAATGGCCTAGGCTGTAATAATGGCACATTGGAAATGGCCTAGGCTGTAATAATGGCACAGTGGCAATGGCCTAGGCTGTAATTATGGCATATTGGAAATGGCCTAGGCTGTAATAATGGCACATTGGAAATGGCCTAGGCTGTAATAATGGCACATTGGAAATGGCCTAGGCTGTAATAATGGCCACAGTGGAAATGGCCTAGGCTGTAATAATGGCTAGAGTGGAAATGGCCTAAGCTGTAATAATGGCACAGTGGTAATGGCCTAGGTTGTAATAATGGCCACAGTGGAAATGGCCTAGGCTGTAATAATGGCACATTGGAAATGGCCTAGGCTGTAATAATGCCACAGTGGAAATGGCCTAGGCTGTAATAATGGCACAGTGGTAATGTGATATTTACTGTTACATCATTTATAAATTTCAGACGCAGACCACTATTTTGACGACATCGATCGATCGTCGCTCACTGGAGATGTTCCGTCAAGTGAGGAGAGCACACACGTGGACAACTTCCGTGTATTGAAGGCGCTCGCAGACCACGCAGATGATTCTAACGAGGACGAACACACCCAGCCCAGGAAACCAACGTCGCGGGGAGTTGGTGCCATACAGCCGGAGTTGTACGTCACCGATCACAGTCATAGTCCACCGGGACGTAAACCATCGGTTGGTCAAAAGGACAGCACGATATTGGAGGAGTCGTACGGTACTCTGTGGTTTTTCGTACGATACGACGAACTTTCTCACAGGTGTGTATGATTGGGGCACAGTTTTTGTTTCACAAACTCGCTGACTGACTGATTATTTCATTGTCGTACTATAAAAATAAGCTACGGATACTTAAAACTTGAAATTCGTTTCGAGGAGAGCTTAATTCCGGAATGGCGTTCCCGGATATAATGAACAAAATGGCATCGTAAGTTCAACTTTAATTGCATTCATTTTACGAGGAAATGGCACAATTTATTTTGATCGGCTTCGATAGTTATACCTGGGTCAAAACTTCTGACGACAAAGGAATTAATAAAGATTTGGATTTTTTTTTTCATTTTCCGTCAAATACTTTGAAGTGTTTGAGTTACTAAAAGTTCTTTGTAAACAATGTTTTCATCCTTTAGGTCGATGACGGAGGTATTATTGGATATATTTCCATAATTCTAAGCTTGACATACAGTGATATACAATGATAGTTTTCCACGATTTACCTAAACCTACGCTAATAGACCCCATTATTTTAAAATCAAAAAGATTATCTTTTAATTTCCACTCTAATGGGTATATTTATTAGGCTTTTTTGTAAGCTTATTATCGCTGAATTAAATCAAACCGGATAGTCAGTTTATAAAAGTATACCGCAGTAATATACAGGCAAAGTTCACGCCTGCATAAATTAGTCATTAAATTGAACGTTTTGAATAAATCGTACCCAAGCTTTCTTGTCATTGCATCTCAATTACATGGACTTTTATCGTTTCTTTAACTGGAACACTGCGATAAAACCCTATCGTTATCGACGTTGTAATTTTGTTCTCGTTTTTATGCATAAAAATATAGTATTTGCTTTTTTATAGTTTTTTTGCTAGGATTTTAATAATGTTAAAGTCTTTGTTACGCCTTGTCTTATATTTTGAATCGTGTGCCAAATAATGATATAGAAATGGTCGGGCGTGTTCAAAGGAAAGTTAATAATGTAACTAAGTAATAAACATATGTTGTTGGTAAAAGTGTCACTCTCTGTAAAATATTAATCATGTATGTTGAATCGTTCTTGATGTGATGGTCATTACAGTCACACCTTTTAGGTTATTCGTATATAGCTGTTATACAATCTCATCTTCTCCAATGCAAACACGTGAGCTTCAATCGGAGCTAGATCGGAATTCGAGCGGAACTAGATCGATACTATGTCAGAACTGAACCGGAAATGCATCTAATAAAAACGGGTCCTTGTTTCCCATGCAAATTAGGATAATGATGCAAAGTAACTGTTTTCTATTTCCAGGTTAAATGTCAACCTACACAGAGCAAGTGACTTACCAGCGAAGGGTCAAAATGAGACGTCGTACGACACATTTGCCGAAGTCTGCATTCTACCCAACGAGAAGCTGTCGCAGAGGTCAAAGGGCATTAGAAAGACCTGCAACCCGGTATTTGACGAGGATTTCACGTTTTCGTGCGATTCAAATAAACTAACGGGACTGACACTTCGCATGACTGTTTTCGATCACGCGAGACAACACAGACACAACGCCATTGGCCATGTGCTGGTCCCTCTTGGGAACTATAGCAACGAGGAGCTAGTAGAAAAGGGCATCAAAGGGCAGGGATGGAAACTAGAGCGAAAAGCAGAGGTAAACAAAAGGATATATTTACGGAATGATGTACTAGTATTACAAACAAATATAACTTTTAGAGGTGGTTATTAATAAATTGGTACACGTCTAAATAATACTTGGATAAAGAGCACAGTTCTCAAAGCTGGGTAAAAAGATAATTTCGTGCTCAGGCTCAACACAGTTCAAAAAATTGGCCTATATGTGAAACCATGAACATGTACCCTTTAAAAATATATAATGACATTCGACGAGAATTCAATTTGACCTGCGGGGCGAAATCGATTCGAACAACCGAGAAAATATTTCATTCGACGATTTCCGAGTTCTTTGTAAAGAATAAAGTTTATTTCATTTCCGCCGTAAGCGGGTGCACTTTGTGGAGTCACTATACTTCCGGTTTACGATACTTTGGCGGACCTGTATCAATCCACGCTGAATGTTCATACCCGAATAATATGTCGAGTAGTAATTCACAATAAACTACATTTTCATTTTCTAATTTATTTTTATTATTTTTGTTTCATATTCACTCTGTCAATCAGTTTGAGATTCGTTTCTCACAGCTAACAAACTCATGTTATGATTGTTTCAAGTAATCATGTAATCCAGTATGGTAACATAAGACCTGGGGTTAATACTGAATCTCATTGTATGTTTTCTTTTAGCCGCTGCATGACCTGGGACAAATATACATTTCATTAGCATACTTGCCTTCCGGAGACCGTATGTCGGTCGTTATTCTCAGATCCAAACATCTTAAAAAAGCGAAAGAGCTCAAAGAAGATAAACAAGCGCCTGATTCTTTGGGTAAGGACTGCTGAAATAAGAAAAGTTTGTACAAGCTGAAAAATATACGTTTATATTAGTTATTAATGTTATTGCGATCCCGGGATTGCTATGTACCTCAGGCTGTAGGACGACAAGTAACCTCGGCATTGTTCGATAAATGTCGGAATATTCGGCGGCATTGTTCATCATGACGCACTTTTAAACACTTGCTCTGTCGTTTTGCAGATACCTACGTGAAAGTAACTCTGGTGTACGGTAACGAAAAAGTGAAAACCCGTAGGACACAAGTAATAGGTAGAACAGCCAACCCGGTCTACAACGAATCACTGGCCTTCGTTGTTCCACCTGGCTATCTGGACGACACAAGTCTCGTGATCAGCGTGATGCAACGTGGTTTCATGAAACGGGACGTTGCGATTGGTCGGCTTATTTTGGGGCCATATTGGTACAGTCAGGGTCGTACTCTCAGCCACTGGGGTAAAATGTTGAGTAAACGGGAAGCCACCAAACACTGGCATTACTTATATCTGTAAAAGTAATCCATGTTATCAAAATGCTATCTATCATAATCATGAACTATTCGGTCAATTTGTTGATTGGTCTATTGATCAATTAATCGATTGATTGATCCTCGACGATTGCCTAACAATGTAGATTCTGGACACAAGACAAAGATGGACGACCCCCCCCCCCCTGAACATTGGATTAGGATGTCGCCTCGGGATCTCCACGGTTCCTACAAAACTCAAAATGACAGCAGCCGCGGCTGCTCTAACATGACTGAATTTACGTGGATTTATGTCCTTCCTCCAGATTGTTGAATGGACATGCTTATAGCTTGAAAGCTGTGTTTTACATTCTACAGAGGGAGGCGACGAGAATCCACTGTGATCAATGAGATAGACTGGTATAAAAGTTACTGTTCGAGTTTCTGTTGAAATATGCTGCATGTCGTTGAGGGCGCACATTACAAAGCCATGTTGCCTACTGTTGTCGATGGGTAATGCTTGACTTGTTGTCAATGATTGTTAATTTGTTTACCAAATCGCCAACTCGAATTATAAACATACTGATCATCAGCTTTTATTCTAATATTTAATAATGATTGGGCCGGGAACACGTGCAGGCCTTCAAGTGAACATAGATAGTCCCTCCAGAAGAGACTTGAAGTAACATAGCAACTGCGACCACCACTTATGAAGGATTTGCTGAATGGAAAATGTTGAATTAGCTCATTAATATTAATTAAAACTGGTCGTCATATCGTTTCTAGAGTCATGGAGAATTTGAATTCTACCACTCCTTTTGATGGATGAATAATTTTATTTATAAAAAGGTTATAAACATCCCCGGACTTAGTGTACCTTTCACTGTATCGGTTTGATAATGCATTTTCCAACGTATACTACACCTCCGCTTCGAACACGCCCATGTTCGTCAAACTAAAGACATTAGACAATGCATTCCCCAGTGGTTTTGGTCTAACTTTAATAATAAACCTCAAACAGGCACTATATTTTCTCTATTATCTATATAATTGAGATGTACCATGAGAGTATTTGTTAAAGCAGCGAACAGCTTGCTTCCTGTGAATATCATTTCAGCGTAAATCTCGAATCACAATCTACGTTGCTGTATCAATTGAATTCCCAGTTCAGTGGCGGCGGCGCAGGGGGAGCAGAGGGGGCGATCGCCGCTCGAAAAAATCAAACCCCTCCAAAATCAAGCTGAAACACTTTGTTTCAGCAAAATTTGACCCTCAAAATGCAGGAAATTGCGTTTCAGAGGGTCTAGATTTCAGAATTTTTAATGGGAGCATGTCCTCAGACCCCCTCAGTAAGGTCGCGCCTTCGGCAAGGTTAGTGAGCAGATCTCGTCCGTCATGCAAAATGTCGTGCCGCCGCCTCTGCACTTGATGCTTCAATGTAACTCCTAATCGTGTACAAACAGTGGCCACATGTCTTCTCACTCTAAGAAATATAATTGGTATGAATTATAGTGAGCCGTTAAATGTTGTACATTTCAACGACGTTGCCTTATTCTGTTATGTTGATTACGTACATAATGTGTATTACGACTCCAGTCGTATGGTGTCAGTGTCAGTATTGTTATAAGGGATTCGGGATGAGTTGTGGCGCGAAGGCCGTAAATCACAAAATAGGTACATGTACTGGTCCAATGATCGGATATACATTTTCCAAATTTATGTTATTACCGTGGTATACACGAGATAGCCGAGAAACTGAAAAGTCTTTATAAGATTGTCTAAGTTGGTTTTATTTTCATACAATTTAAGATAAAACACGCCCAAGTTTTCAAATGATATGTTCAGCTTTGTGCAAGTCGTTTCCATGGTAACTATGATTTGTAGTTACCCTTGATTGTTGAACTTGAAATTCCGAATTGCAAATCAATCACTATATTTACATTAAGTCATATTTTTATTTTACTGCTACTGTCTACTGGGCGAGAACGTTGCCAGTGAGTGAATTCATTGGTGCTATGATTGGACATAGATAAAGGTGTCGTTTTACCTATAGCGGGCGCTATCAATAAGTCTTGTGGGTGTTACCGGGTACAAGGTCGTTAATGCGATCTAGTTAGTGTTTTGGGTTAAACAGGTTTATTTTAAATCAGTGTTATCGCAATTATTTAAACCAAAAATAAAAAATACCGCACAATTTTACGATAATCCTAAAACGCTCAATTCGGAACTTCTAAGATATGTGTATTTATGTTGTTTTGTCCCCAAAACGACCGAAAAAAATCGATTACATTTAAACTAAAAAATACTCATTTTTTCTGTGTCGTCGTTTGGTGGACTTGACCACTTTGAGGAACATGCATGTACATTCTCCTGTTCGTTGATTACCGACAGGATTTTGTCTCGAACATGCAATGCTTGTCCGAGTATGTTAGTTGACCGGTTCATCTGAACGTGCGCCAAACAAATTTACGATGTTTTAATCCATACCAGACAACTACGTGTATATAGCACATAGTACCGTACATTGGACGTGGATTCTGTTGATAACACATCTTTCGAACTTTAGAGCGGCATTATGGACAACTTTGAATATATTATAGTATATTTGCTCGGTAATGCATGTTAATATGCACATGGGATGAAAAAAAGCGCGTGTGCTTTGTATTACTGGTACGTACTTCTAATTCAAGTTTCACATGCATGAGCACTCCCTCAGTTCATATCAAACAAATACTGTGTGTATGTGTTGCAAAACTAATTTTTATTTTACAAAATATCATACTAAAATATTACTCAATGTCGTCCATATTGCGTCGTTCTTTATCAAAAATAACATATACAATTTTGAAATAGTGTAATTATTTAGAATCACACATTTTTGTAACGTAGTTCTGTAACTCTATTTACTCAATGGTCATATGTTGAATAAAATTATAGTTGAAACATATACAATTTGTCGTATCTTGAATAAAAGTTAAGCATAAGTATATTTAATGAGCCCTCCTAACGCTGGTTTGGCCCCCCGTTCAACTTGAAGGTAATTATTGAAATTAGATTAACTCAATAATTGAAACTTGGCGGGCGGTCGTAATTGCTAACTCCAACTTGCAAACTTCGCGGATAGGCTCGCTGTGTTTAGGCTTTTGATAGAAAAAAGTTACTAACGCTCGCAATAACCGGTTGCCTTAAGATTCGGCCGAGGTCAACGATCTATTATTTTATAATTCCCAAATGGTACCCGGGATGTTTGATATAATGGCGGTGGCTCAGTGATTGATTATATGGTTACTTCAGTTTGAAGAGTGAGTTTATTACTTCATTAAACGTGTAAATCTGTAGAGAACTACTCAAGCAAATGAAACAAATAAATAGTACTTAAAATGCGCTGGATACAATAGATTTAATCCATAGCCAGAAAATGTTCAATAGTTTTCCTTTCAAAGTTGAATACTACGATCAGATTGGCCAAATGTTGCCTTGGCTCGGTAAAATCGAAATTGAAACAAACTTTAACAAACATGAAAATGGATCTCAATTTCCGCCGCTTTTAAATGGCCTATCGCAATATGAATGTTTACATGTACACCGCATATCACTCACTGCATCCGCGTTATAACGTGTTCTTACTAAGATTGTGACCTTTGACCTCGAGTATATGATGAATAATCGACATCATCTGACCATTTAATCCGGGGTTGTTTACTCTCTGGCCAGTTACCTGATTCACACTGTCTCAGTCGCAATTATGGCGAGGACGCTGGTTTTCGCGTTGTTGTTGGTAGCATCATGTTGTTTTGTCAACTCGCAAGGAAAGTCGCCAACCAAGACTGGCAAGGAACATTTGGTTAAAGTTATGAAGGGGCATAAGCACGGAAACAAATCACAGCACATGACCGACGCGGCAAAGGTGGCAGAGGTCGTTGAGGCCCTACCGAAGAATCACAAAGAAAGACCCGAAATAGCTGACAATGCGGCTGGGAATTTCTACATAGGTACTGGTATCGGCGACATCACTGGCCCCGCTGCCAATGTGAACATGGTAAGTGTATGAGAACTTTTATTAATCTGTTCCCCATCCAAATGTGTATTGGGAAACTTCGACCCTGCAACTCAACAGATAATTATTAAAGCGAGTGGGTCGTCACCTGCGCACGCGCGGGAATTGAGTCCCAAGCGATGATAACAACACATGCTAAGAACGCAAAGGCTCATGTGTAGACGCTTGTTTGTAAACAATGACAGCTATGGCATATGATGCATGCATAGGTGATGAATCCCTGCTTTAAAGTTTTTACTTTGACCATATTGGTTATACTACAAAATATACCACATTGACCTGGCGAACAAAAAAATCATTTCCTAATAATTTTTACAATGTCAGTAATGTATTTATTTGTTTATTATTATTCAAGTTTTTCGATTCGTCTTTGTTTTCTATGATATAAACAACTGTTATTTTTTTCAGATGGGTTATGCCAATCCTACTCAGGTTACGGGCGGCATTCACCTACGGCTGTACAGTAGGGCTTATATTATTGCTGATAAGACTGATGAAACCCAAAGAATATTATTTGTAAGTGCTGATATGGCCATGGGGTCACAGTTGGTCAAACTGGAGGTAAGTGATTATCATTATATTTCAAATTATGAGTATTTAAACTTAAACTTGATGAAATACTGTACACTGCTTTAATTTTGCTAGAGATAATTTTTTATTTCCTGAGTCAATGAAAATGACGAAAAATTGGTAGCAGTGAAAATTTCTCAACATGCGTGAAATTTTGTCTTCATGAATGCTATAAAATGTTCAATTCGCTAATATTCATCCCAACAGCGAAAATTAATAGTAGCATTCATGCACAGCTCCTTAGCACTGCTAAAAAGTCAAATACCTTAGCCTGTGCTAAGGTAACTGCATGAACGCTTAGCACTGCAGCGTTTGAGAAA